ATTGAGGAATGCACATAGCTTCACGGTGGCTAGACGTACATTTGGAGGTAGAATTCCTCTTAATGCAACTGGAAGTAATTACGTCATGAGAACGTGACAGTCATGGGACTTTAAGTTATAGAATTTCTTCTCTACAACATTTATAATACCCTTTATATTCGAGGAGAATCCAGATGGTACCTTGATGTTGTTTAAGCATTCAAACATGATTTCCTTCTCCTCTTTGCTTAGGGTGTAGCTAGCAGGACATAAGTAATGGCGTCCATCATCTGTCTTCTCTGGATGCAGGTTGTCTCTTTCTCTCAAACAACGCAGGTCCTGTCGTGCTTCAAATGTGTCCTTAGGCTTTCCATACACACCCATAAAGCCTAGCAGGTTCACACAAAAGATTCTTCGTCAGGTGCATCACGTCGATCGAACTACGGACCTCTAGGACTTGCCAATAGGGTAGGTCCCAAAATATGGACTTCTTCTTTCCACATGGGTGCGTGACCGTTAGCGTCGTTCGAACAGTTGGCTTCCATGTCCTTTTCCAAAGACGACTTTCACATCATTGACCATATCAAGTACATCCTCACCGGTTCGATTCTGCGAGGCTTGGTCGTGGTCCGCCTTCCCTTTAAAATGCTTGCCTTTCTTTCTTCTGGGGTGATTTGCGGGAAGAAATCGACGATGGCCAACGCATACACGACCTTTCGACATTTTTCAAGAATACACCTCTAATATCACCGAAGCGGTGTGTGCATACATTATATCCCTTATTTGACTATCTGAAAGATTACTTAGAGCAGGCCAATCATTGATTATTACGAACAACAATGCTCACAGATCAAAGTGTTCCTATTTGTACTCATCCCACACATGTGCACCTTCTTTATTCCACAAAATGAGAAGTTCGTCAATAAGTGGTCTCGGTACACATCGATGTCATTGCCGAGGTTGCTTGGGCCTTGGATGAGCACAGGCATCATAATAAACTTCCGCTTCATGCATAACCAAGGAGGAATGTTGTAGATACTTAGAGTAACAGAGCCAAGTGCTATGACTCATTGCTACGCTCTCCAAAAGGATTGATACCATCTGTACTTAAAGCAAACCTTAAGTTTCTTGCGTCATTTGCAAACTCAAAAATTCTCATCGATTGCTCTCCACTGGGACCCATCAGCAGGGTGTCTCAACATATTGTCTACCTTACGGTCTTCTTTGTGCCATCGCAACAATTTTGCATGTTCTTTGTTTCTGAACAGACGTTTCAAGCATGGTATTATAGGAGCATACCACATAACCTTGGCAGGGATTTTCTTCCATGGACGTTCGCCCTCAACATCACCAGGGTCATCTCGCCTGATCTTATACCGCGACGCATGGCATACCGGGCATGCATCCAATTTCTCATACTCTTTGCCACGATGCAGGGATGCGATCATTAGGACATGCATGTATCTTCTCTATTTCTAGCCCCATAGGATGAGACAACTTGTTTTGCTTCAGTAGGTAGTGGCGGGCAATTCATTGTCCTTGAAAGCATCTTCTTTTGAATTTTTAGTAACTCTCAAATCCCTTGTCGGATACACCATTCTTTTGCCTTCCATTGCAGCAATTCTAGTGTGGTTCCCAACTTTTTCTGCCCTGCATCACAAGTTGGGTACAACAATTTCTTGTGATCTTCTAGCATCCGCTCGAACTTGATCTTCTCCTTTTCACTTTCACATTCTCTTTGTGCGTCACGAATGACCTGAGAAAGATCATCAGCCGGCTCATCTTCTGCGGCTACCTCTTCTTCAGCTTCTCCCATTGCAATATCATTGAAGCACGCACCATCGGGAATAATATCATTGTCGTCCCATTGTTCTTCTTCACCTTCTTCCATTACAACACCGGTTTCTCCGTGCTTTGTCCAACAAATATAGTTTGGCATGAAACCCGACTTGAACAAGTGTGAATGAAGAGTCCTTGAGCAAGGATATTCCACCGTATTCTTACATATGGCACATGGGCAGACATGAAACCGTCAGCGTTTGTTTGCCTCGGCCGCACGTAACAAAGAATGCACGCCGTCAATGAACTCTTGGGAGCGGCGATCAGCATTATACATCCAATGACAGCTCATCTGCATTACATGACATAAATACCATATTAAAACCTAGATCATAATTAATTATTTATACAACATGCGCGCCACCACAAAAGATACAAATTTATGAAAGCATCGCTACAATGTAGACAATCCCAACTACCACTAAAAGAACTAAAGCTAAAATACATTTCAAAGAGCACTAGGATTTCACGACCAATCTCAACTAAAACAGACATGATCCCCGATTGTGCAACATCTTTGGGCTTCTTGGCTGGATCAACGCCTCATTAGCCAGCGTGTCATGCATTGTGCAAGATATTTTTGCACGAGTTCAACATACTCTTCCTCCCAAAGAGAAGCTTCGAACATCGTCCCACCGCCATCCCACTGAAATTAAAACAAAAAATTAGAACTTTAATCACAACCATCATGAAAATAGGTATAAACTAACCATAATCATTAAATACGATAAAATAACTCACATTGCGATCCGGGACACTTGTAGAAGATACGATCCTTGTTGGGATCCTCCTTCTTCACTCGGTACTCCATCACAATCTTCGTCTCATCACGACACTTGCCGCATGGAATGAGAGGGAGGCCCGCCTAAAGTCGCTTTGGAAACCCATGAGAGGCCGAGGACCCTAAGCGATTTGCCATCTACTCTCTATACTCATTTTTAATACACTATAAATTTCTCCTTTTATAAACAAATAAAATTAAGAAACTATAAAATTATCTAGATCTCTAAACAATGATATTTTTAATGGTCATTGTGTTCTCGCCTCTTTTCTTCGCGGGTAAGTAATTCACATGATATTTCCGCAAATTAACGTAAGAATGGGAGTGTACACACATAACGAGACTACTGCGACGATATCGGGGCGTGTGAATAAATAACCATCCGTACTAGTTGACCTTGCTTACGTGATCATCTCGTGCGAGCATTTCTCCACCGGACGGCACCGTGCTTGCCCACGGAAGAGCTTCAATTCTACGAGGAAGGGAACACGGTCTTCCACGACCGTTGCCGCTCTCCCTCGAGAATCAAAGCTCCTCCTTGACGTCTGTTACCGCTTTCGGCGAAGAACGTGCTTTCGCCGAGATGAACACGGTCCGCAAGTTCAACTAGCTACTTTAACCTTATTTCATGTAAATATGCAAGCTTGAAGTGATTTTGAGCTCAAATTGCTTACAAATGAAAAAACCACAATAAAGAACCATATATATATATATAGTGAACAAAATAAGATAAGACAATGGTGAAAAATGAGAGTATGAGATTGGTAACCTTTACAACTAAAGAATCGACGGAGGAATCAAGAAATCGATGGAGGAATCGAATAATGGATGGAGGAACAATGGAGGAGGGAGGAAGCAAGAACACTAGTGCAGTGAGCTTCAAAATGTCTTGAGCTCGGGCTCGGGGAGGAAGAAGGAGAGGCGGCCGGGATATAAAGGGGACCTTTAGTCCCGGGTTGGTGGCTCCAACCGGGACTAAAAGTAACTTTCCAACCCCAGTAGCGCACCACGGCCCGGGAGTAGACCTTTACTCCCGGTTGGAGCCACCAACCGGGAGTAAAAGTATTTTAGTAGTCGGTTGGTGGCTCCAACCAGACTAAAGGTCCCCCCACCTCTGTCTGGGCGCAGAGCCGTAGGGGCGGGGACCTTTAGTCCCGGTTGGAGACACCAACCGACTAAAGGTATTTCTAGTCCCGGCGCAAAAAATTCCGGGACTAGAGCCCATTTTGACCGAGGATCAAAGGTCTGTTCTCTACTAGTGGGAGGAGCCACGGGCTCCCAGCTACGAGCGGGGGCGAGGGCAAGCTGCTGGTGGCGATGCCGCGCAATGGCGAGGGCGAGGCGAGGTGGCGGCGGCTAGGTCTTGTCGCAGCCTCGCGTCCTCAAGGCGTCGCCCTTGAGGGTTCGGGTCGGGGGCGCATGGGCGAGGAGGGGTGATGGGGGGAGGGGCTGGGGGAGGGTGAGGCGCAATTACCATCCTAACCTTCAACGCATAAAAATAATTAGAGCTAATAATTTGCTTAGGAACCGAGAGGAACCCAGAAGTACCCCCAACCACTGTAAAAGAGCAAGACATCCGGGGACGAAAGCACTTTGGTTCAAAGAAATAACCTCTGGTAAGATGACTTTCAACCTGTTTGATAAGACTTTGGATGCAATTTTGTACACAACATTACATAAACTAATTGGTTGAAGGCCTTTTAATCTTTCCGGATTCTGCAATTTTGGAATCAGGACAACTGTAGTTTCATTCCAGCCTTTTGGCATTGTGCCTCCATTCAGAAAAGCCTTTACTTCCCTTACCACATCCTATGCCTGATCTTTTTTTGTAAGTCAAAGGATGTTTTTGGGGGCGTTGGCAGCTCCATAGTTGACTAATAGGAATCGTGCTCCTCGGTATCCTGAAACCGTTCACACTGTGCGGGCATCCTCTATACCTACTAGTGGGCTATTTTTTTTCGCTTGCTTGCGCATGCCACATTGGGCTGCTACTGCCCAAATCACATGAGCCCATCCTGGTGTTCGCACTGGACTTGGACCTAAGACCATCAGGCCCTTGGAAGACGAAAAGGGTGGTCAGATTAACGCGGCATCGACTTGGTCTGGTCACGAACTGCCAGTCGTGCAAGCTCCCCCCATTGACTGGCATGTGTATTTTGGCATCCATGGGCCATGATGGCCTGAGCAAGAAAACGCCGGAACACTCTTACGACCTGGAGGACACACACATCCAACCTCTTCTCGTCCAATAATCTCATCTCCCTTCACATGATAGATGCTTCTGTCCTCCTTCCAATCTGATCATCCTCTCCTGTGCAAATAGTGGATCAACTACTGATGTGATTATTAGCATCTGTAGGCGGGCGCCGGTGAGAGATCAGTCCAGAGACCTATCGCAATCATGGCAGAGATGGTGGGGTCCATCGTCGTCGGCGAGGTGGTGAACCGGACCTCCGACTTCCTCATCAGCAAGCACAGGGAGCGGCTGAGCACGCGAGAAGCCATCGAGCGGCTTGAGATGGCGCACATCAAGATGGAGGCCGCACTGGAGCTGTCCGGCCGCTGGCAGCAGGCCACCGACGCGTCCCTGCTCCGCTGGCGCCGCAAGCTCAGGCGCGCCGCGGACGAGTGCGACGCCGCGCTGCACCGGTGGATGCTGCGGGAGCTGCAGGAGGAGGACGCCCGGGAGAAGCTGGCGCGGGCACCGCTCCCGCGGCGCGTCGCGCACGCGGTCCTGTGCTTCGTCTCGGGGCTCCTCCTCCTGATCGCCCGCGGCGGTGGCGACGACGAGTGCTCCCGCGCCTGCGCCGCCGTCCAGAGGTTCGAGAGGCTGGCCAGCGGCGCCGCCGAGTTCCTCAGGTGCGTGGAGTTCGGCAGCGCGCCGCGGAGGTTGTGCGGCCGCGGCGGCGGCCTGTTCGGCTTCGGCCCCGTCGTTGGGAGGCTCGGCGGTGAACACGCGAGCTACGAGAGGCTGCAGGGAGCTCCTCAGCAGCACCGCTTCTTGGACGCTGCGCCCGCAAGTCCGGCGGCAGAGCTTTGGGTGGACAGCAAGCCCTGCCGTGCCTACCCAAAGCGAAGGGCGTCCGGGAAGAAACTGCTGCTGGTATGAAACATGGAGAGGCAACCGGGATGTGCTCCAGTTCCAGACTTGCAGTCAAGTCAGCAGGGCCACGTCACAGCAGCTCTGGCAGGGGGTTCCGTCTGGGCTCCGGAGAGCGCGCGGTCACTCTCACGGCTGAAGGGGACAATTTTAGGGCCCAACTTGTAGACCGTACCGTGCAAATTCATCGAGTCTATGGTAAAAAAAAATCGTCTTGTTTCGTGTTTCTTCACGATTTCTAGATTGTTGGGAAGTCTAAAGTCCTGCTGGCTCTTTTGGTGCAGCCATCCAGGCAGTTCAAACAGATTTAGAGAATTATAACATGCCCGTATTTTCAGTGCTCAAATATATTCCTTGAAAGAATTATTTCTTCCATGTCGGTGTCAATATGATTTGTTAACATTATGGACGGCCAAATGGGCAGGACCAACGGGTGCCACAGGGCACAGTCCAAGCAGGCCCGATGGCCAGTGCTATGCTTCGACCGTGGTCTTGGCCCGTAATGCTAGCATGAGCAAGACATAGTTGGTTTGATCCCATTTTACTCAAAAAAAAAAAAAAAAATTGGTCTGATCTCATCATGTTAACCTTGAAGACTCACCTCCATACCCTAGTCCCAACTCTCAATCTCACTTACCTAGCTGCATGATGCTTCTTCCCTGGCTCCCCACCTCCCCCTTCCCTCCACAGTGCAGCATCGTAGCTCCACTCTAGCGGTCAGCCAGGCATGCTAACACTTGGACCCCCTAGATGATATCCACAGACATTAGAGGAACCATCCACTCTCATTTGCTTTGAGAGAATGCATTAAGTGGAATTAGAGATCATGTTTGCTTCGGGTTTGCTTATTATTCTTGGTGGTTGCCGCCATCTTAACGGCTTAGAGTAACCGGACTCCGCTGAAACACTCAATTAAAGATTGTGCGGAGCTCTGGAGGTGATTTGTGCTAGGCTCTTGTGCTCATCCCTGTTGGAGTTTGCGAAGATCAAGTTTAGTGGAATATAGGTGTTCAGAGTGCCTTGTGATTGAGCAGGAGACCATGTCCTCAAGTGAGGAGGCAATCTTGGAGGGAAAGCGGTAATCCTATAACTCACCTCAACGTGGACGTAGGTGACTAGCAAGTTACCAAACCACATGATATATCTTTGTGTCATCCCTTGTGTGGTATCACTTCCTAGCTCTTTATTACTTGCATTTCAATTCTAGTGACATAGCCTAATTTACATCTTTGATACTAGAATTATGTAGGTTCTCACCCTAGGATAGCAAAATACTAGCTAGAGTAGAATTATTATATTAGTGTCTTCTTTTAGTCTTGCCTAGTGTGTTTTTGAACTTGCAGAATTTTAATTTAGACTATTCACCCCTCTAGCCATCCAAATAAAGATCATTTTAACAATGTTGCGCCTCACTATTGTGATGGACTTGTTAGCTCCAAAGGATATGTTAGCTTCAGATGATGAGACCAAGAAGGAGGTGAAGGATTATTGATCCAAGGGATGTTGCGCTCTTTGAGGCAATGTTGTGCCTCACTACTGAGAGAGACGTTAGATCCAAAGGATATATGTTAGCTCCAGGTGGGGAGACGAAGAAGGCTGTGAAGGATTCTTTGTATATGTTGAGTCAAATGGCTATGCACCAAAGTGAACGGTGTGACGATTTAGTGCTTCACGTTTGTGTTGAAGGTTCGATATGGTTGGTCCAACAATAGCTAATAGTGTATTTGGTTTATGGAATCACCCCATGCTTCATGAGGTGGTACATCGTACTTTCATTCCATGAATTTGGTAGAATCAATTCATTCCTCGTGTGTATACTAATTATTACCTTGTGAGAAATGAGGTGATGGATCAACTCATTTCGTTCCACAAATCAAACAAAAAAGTGAGTAATAAGTAGATGATAGACCATCTCATTCTTCAAACCAAATAAATCCTTAATGATCTATTTGGATCTCTTAGCTGCTTTACATATGGAAGGATAAAACAGTGGCTATCGATACGGATCGAGTGAATAAGCTTATCAAACCATTAACGTTGGGTCTGCAGAAAATAGACGCGTGTGTGCGTGTTCGTGGCCTCTGGCCTTCTGCTCCGGGTGCCATTAGAATGAGCTGGCTAGTAGTTTATTCCTAGATTCTGTATCTAACAAATTATGGCTGCTATGCGAGACTGGATTAGCCAACAATAAGTGTTGTACAGCTAGTGAGGAAATGATAGCGACTTTTCTGCAAGTCAACACTGACGACGGTGATAGGTTTGTTTGGATGAGGTTGATATCCGAAAGTCAACTGACGGTGATAAATTTACAGAATCTAAAATACACGAATACAGTAGTGGGGCTGTTCAAACCAACAACCAACAATTTTATTATGCAAAAGTATTTATCTAAAATTTATAGTGTTTATCTTTTATACAAATAACAAATCCTTTTCACTTCACTGATGAGCCCGGGCGGCTACCTGGGGTCGCTAAGCGGTGGTTTTGCCACTACGGAGTATACATAATAACTAAATAAATGGTTGTGTTACGGTACAAAAGAAATCTAAAAATTAAAAAGAACACTGAGTAATTTATAGAAAAAAGGAATAAAATTATTTAGCCCTAGGTCTTTAACGTTCATCCGATCAATCTAATTCTTAGACCAGAGAAAAGAATCACAGTAATAAAATGAACAAATAAGAAATGAAAGGTAATAGGACGACTAATTCTAAATAATATAAATACTATTAGAGTTCAATTTAGAGGGAGAGCAGATAAGAAAGCACTAACTACATTTAACAAAACTAATTAGAGAGTGTACTATGACGACGAACTAGATGTTTGATAGAAAAATAATAAATAAAAGGAACAAAAGATATGAAGAAAATAATAAAAAACCAAAATTTAATTATATAAGATGCTATTAGAGAAGAAATTTCGAATACAAATAACATCATTAATTAGCTAATTAGAACATTACGTAGATAATTAAGGGGGTGTATTAATGGGGGCATGAAATTTTAGGGGTGCCTGCCCCCCTCAGCCCTCTCGCCTCCGCCAGTGGCTCCAACACTCTATAGCTTGCAAGCCATAGAAAAATATAAGGACACTCTTAACAGTACAGTAAATTATGCTCGATCTCTATAAGAGATGTATACCTCACCTATAGATGGATCAAAATAACACTCATTCAATGATGTAGCTATAACACTCTATCCAAGACTAACATGGGCCCCACCTGTTAGCTATATTATAGTCTTATATTACCAAAGCTCCTATCTTCTCTTTTTATCATCCCCGCTGTTGCAAGATCCAGCCCTAGGCCCTGTCATCGCCATCGATGTGGTCCTTCTCGCTCATCCTCCACCTCCACCACATCCTCTAGCTCCTTCACGTGCCTTTTCTCCCCATGCCAGTGACGATCCATTGTGCTCGTCCCCCACCTCCTCCATTTGCCCACACGCCTTGTTCGCGGTGGCCGGGGCAAAGGCCACCTGTGCAGTGGCGAAGGAGACCCGAGCCCACCTGCGTGAGCACCCACGAGGACCATGGTGGACGGGCCCAAGCTCGCCCACGGACATGGTTCGTCGAGGTCACCGGCGTGGCGGTGGCCCAACGAACCCGAGGTTAGCAAGAATACTAGAGATAGAAGAACGTCATGGGATTTGGGTAGAATCTCGAAGGAAGGATTAGAGTTATAGAATTGTGGTTCTCTTGGTACAGCTCGCCCTCTTTCTCATGGCTTCTCACATTTTTACATCCAAACGCAACCCGTCCCTTGCTCGTAGCAGCTTATCTGCTCTGTTGTTATCTGGCTAACCCCAATCTAGGCTGACGATGCAGGTGTTGGCCTGCTTGGTGTGCATGCTCCTCTAAGGCCCATGGAGTATTTGTGTCAGCTTGGAAATTGTAGTGGAAGCAGAATATGTAACACCGAGCTCACCTGCGAGAGCACCCACTAGGACCGTGACGGCCGAGGTCCAGGCTCGCCCACTAACGTGACAGGTGGCTAGTGCGTGAGCTCTAGCTCGCACACACACGTTGACGGTGGCTGCGTAGGGACCTCTTCTGAGGCCTGGTGCATGGATCCAGAGAGAGGGATGGGAGAGCAAGAAGACTGGCATGTGATGGGGACCGCTCACATGAACTCGTACTAGCAGCTCTCGCCACAAGTAGCAACAATTCCATCTCTCTTCTGATTTCTCTCTCCTATGTGGAGGTGTTGTAGAGAGCTAATTAACACTGTTGTGGGTGCCCTAAGAGAGAGGGAGGAGCGAGAAAAAGATAGGGTGGGGAGTGGTGGTGGGCTTGGGTATAGTGGGTGTGGTGGGGTGGGTGGTTGAGGGACGGTACAAGGCAGTGTTTGCCTAAACGGCCTAAACGGCCAGTAAATGATAAACGGTGGTAAACTATTTTATTTAAGGGATAAACGGAAATTAAACGGTTGATCGTTTAAACGGTTAAAAAACGAAAAAAAAACGGTCTAAACGGACTAAACGGAACGGAGATAAACAGCATTAAGTGGGCTAAACAGCTGTTTAAACGGCTGTTTAGGCGAACACGAGGTAAATCTAGTTCAGTTTTGTATGGATAAATTTGTATACTTAAGTTTATTATATTTATAAATGTGTACACTTGATATGTTACATGCATAAATATCTATATTTGGTTCTTTTCACATGCATAAATATATATACATACCAAAATAATTGATTTTTACTCGGATAAATATGTATAAATGGTAGAATAATTGATTTTTTTACATGCACATATATAATTATATGTATTTTTTAAGTACAAAACCGTTTAGACCGTTTAACTTCGTTTAAACACTGTGTAAATAGCCTAAACGCTAAACGAAGGGCGACCGTGTAAAAACCGTTTACCGTTTAGGAAAACATTGGTACAAGGTGAAAAGGAAGTTATCATCACCTTTGGTTAAAGGGGTGGGCAATATTATCCGTGGTTGCAAATTATAATCTTGGGTAAAACACTTTTCATTGTTGAGTATACTAGATATATCACAATTTTATAGAAGAAACAAACCATTAACTCCCATGACTAAGGTAAAGGACTTAATGTATTACAGATGGTAAAATGGTTATATTCAGTACTTTGTTTAAAATTTGATCGACAATAAAGGCAGAATAAATTTCATGTAGCAACCACAAATGTAAGACAAAGAGCAAGTGTTCTAGGTTTTCGGACCTGTTTGGTAGGGCTTCTCCCTGTCTCCGACTCTGGCTTCTCTGGAGGAGTCCTGCCAAACGTTTTGCTGCAGGAGCCATTTTTCAAGGAAAAACAAAGGAGCCGGAGCCATTTTGGAGGAGCCACAAATTAGCTCCTCCGGAGGAGCCTCTCATATGTTCTACTCTCACCATTCCAATTGTAAGTCATTCTGACTTTTATAGATATGTAGCTTTTATTATTCTATATCTAGACATAGTCTATACTAGGTGCATAGCAAAAGGAACATACCTAAAAACTAGAGTGACTTATAATTTGGAGAAGAGAGAGTACAATATAATTTCTTCAAAGTGGAGTAAAAAAAACAAAATTATGCAGTGATTTTTTTTTTGTTATCTTGCACTCCATTCCTTCCAAAATATAAGAGGTTGTAGTGTGGTCCTAAACCAAACTGCTCTAGTTTTGGTTAATTTGTAGAAAATTAAAACAACTAAATTACCAAATAAATGCATGATCAAGATCTATTTCATGGAGGATTTAATGAAACTAAATGTTGTTATAGATGGTTATTTTTTTATAAACTTGGTCGAAGTTAGGAAAGTTTGACCTAGGAGAAAACTGAAATCTCTTACATTTTAAAACAGAGGAGGAAATTGGTTGCGTGCTCCTATATAAACCACACAACTCGGTTGAAAGAGAAAACATATTGAAGCCTTATTTTGATCCACTAGTGGCAATATTAGTTAGCTAACTATTAGTTGGCTAACTATTAGCTATGTGTTATTTGGATCCACTAGCTAAAGGTGGACACATCGGTGATTTTGTCTATAATGATATCATTTTCTGTTTGCTATTGATAGTGCACAAGCTTAGAGGTAGGTGGGATCCACATGCTTAATGAGATCATTCCCAACCGTCTTTCTTAAATACATTCACTCTCTAAATCCTCGTTTAGAGAGTCATTCTAATAAAAATCGTTTTATATATCTCTCCACCCTCAACAATTTTTCTCTAAATATTTTTTGGCACTTTGGTTATCTAAAGGGGTTAAGAATAATATATTGATAAAAACATTGTCTAATGGTGTTTTGGCTATCTTAATCGTGGGTCAAATTATGCATACCGTTAAATATAACTACTCTATTATGATTTGAGTCAATGCAAGGAGGTGGTTTGGAATCTTCTCTCGAAAGAATTGAACATAGTTTCTTTATATATACTGGGAAATACCTCATTCTCTTGAGAAGTCACGACTTGACGAAATCTGTTCACTGCACTGCTAAATCTTTCTACCCCTTCACATTCTCCATTTCGCAAGTTGCCTGCGCCATCTTTGCTCACAAGGTTCGGTCTTCGGAATTCCCAGGCTTGAGACTTGCAACACTTTCGTTACAACTATACGTTTCATATTCACCTATTTCATGTGCAGATGTTCGGTTCTGTTGTCGTCGAGGAGACAGTGAAGCAGATCTTGTCAGCTCTGTCTGACAATGATCATGAAGGGAGATCGGATGATGAAACGGAACACGTGGAGAGGCTGGAGATGGCGCAAATCAGGCTGGAGGCTGTCCTCGAGGCATCCGTGGGGTGGCAGATCAAGGATCCGTCACTGCTGCGCTGGCGCAGGAAGCTGAAGCGCGCGGCGCAAGAGTGCGACGAGGCGCTCCACAGGTGCAAGCAGCGGATCGTGGAAGACGAGGAGAAGCAGCGAGCGGCAAGGAGCTCCTCCTTCCCGCAGCGGCTCGCTCACGCCACCAAGGCGTGCCTGTCCTCCGTCATCGCCGGCCACCGTGACGAATCGAGCACCACCAGAGACGACGCTCGAAGGTTCGAGTGGTTCACGGACGGAGCGAGCGACTTCCTGCGGTTCGTGGAGCTCGATGGCACGCCGCGCCGCTACATGTTCTTCGACCCTCTCATCGGGCAACTCCTCTCCGGCAAGGAGCTCCGGTACAGGCTTGTCCGGGGAAGCCAGCACCATGTCCTGTGCATGCGCCCCGTGAGCTTCGAAGGCCGCGGGCTGGAGGCCAAGTTCCTTTACGTGTACGAAGACGACGACGCGCCGGAGAACAACTTCTGCCTAGGTCTGATGCTCCGCCTCTCCGAGAGCATGGTCGTCGTCGGTATCGCCATCAAGTGCCTGCAGCAGCTGCTGGTCACGCCTCACTTCAAGTCCATAGCCGAGGTCGCCATGCGAGAGATCGCTCAGCTGCCTACAGAGGACTTCTCCTGGGTGCCTTACGTTGAGTCTGGTCACAAAGAGCACTGGAACAGCATCCACGGAATCTTGTCCCAGGTGTCGCGCCCAAACCCAAACTGCTGCAAGCATCACCACCATGAACCCAAGCCTTGCAGCAGCAGCATGCACGCAGCGAAGCTACCATTACCCAAAGTTTTAAATAGCTGCTGGACAAGGTAGAAGCTAAGATATGCAATTTTTAGCGCTATGAAACCAAATCAGCTAATAGCCAGAGATATCCGGAGATAGCCGCTATAGCTGGGCATATTTTAGCGGCAGCCCAGCAGCTTCTACCGCGCGAGAGCCCAAGATTTTCGCCGGCCCAGCAGTGGACCAGCAGCAGCCCCCACCCCCACCGTAAGGACCCAGCAAGCAGCAACCAGCAACCCTAGCTCCAAGTCCCATCCCTCTCGGTCTCTCTACCGCGCAATAGGAGGCGGCGGCGGTGGCGGATGCTTCTTCTGGGCTTCGGCGGCGGCGGCGGCGAGGGTTCCCCAAGCGGCGCGGCAGCCGGAGTCTCGTGCGACCGTCTCCGCTCATACTCGAAGCCATCTCTTCTCCTCGCGGCTTGGTAAGTCATTCATCCACCAGGCCTGCATCAATCGACTCCAGTAGGAAACGGTGATTCGGACTTTCAGAGAGCCATCTGTTCCTCCAGATCCAAGCGACGGCGGCGGCAGCAAGGGGGCCCCAAGAGGCAGCGGCTTCATCTTCGGCTTCACCATGGCAGATCAACAAAGTAAGTGCTGGACTCTCTGAATTCAGTCCCTGACAAATCCATTTAGAGCAGTCTTGTATGAGCAATGTGTTGTAGCGGCTGTTATCATTGTCATAAATCCATTTAGTGCTGGAATCATAGTTCAATATGTTGCTGCTCATAAATCTGACAAAGCAAGTGCTCATCATAGTTCAATCTTGCATAGTTTGCCATATTAACTCAAGCTTTGTACTTAACTCAAGCAACTATATTATTTTTGTTGCCTTTTGTGTCTGCTCTTTACATAGGTCATCCATCTAGTACCGCCTCTGCCCCAGTAGCAGGTGCACAACGTGCTATTAACTCAGACGACCCTGCATGGTCTCATTGTTACTGCCCAGACATAACCAAGAAGCAAAATCTAAAGTGCAAATACTGTGACAAGCTCTGCAGTGGTGGAATTACCAGGATAAAGTACCATCTTGCTGGGATTAAAGGATCCAATACTGCTAAGTGCTTGAAAGTTCCACCTCAAGTGCAGCAAGAGATGTTTGCTTTGATTACAAAGAAGACTAGTGAAAAGGCAGAGAAAGCCAAAGAAAAGGAAAGGGAAAGAGCTGAAGTTGATATAGATCACTCAGATTGTGAAAGTGACAGTGAAGATTCTGAACATGGCAATGTTGTTCTTGTGGTGAAGCCAAAGGAAACAAAAGGATCTAGTAGCTCTAGATCTGTAGTACATAGTGGTTCTATTCAGAAGTACTACAAGCCGCCTACTATAGAGGAGTCTGCTAAGACCAAGCTAAGCAACAAGGTTCAAACAACATTGACAACCCAGAAAAGAGAAGAGAGGAGGGATAGAACATGTGAGTACATATGTCAGTGGTTCTATGAAGCTAGCATTCCACACAACATAGTCAGCTTTGCTAATATGTTAGAGGCCATTGGACAATTTGGTAGAGGTCTAAGAGGGCCCAGTCCCTATGAGATGAGTGGAAAAAAGGAAGGAAAAGGTGTTGGATGGATTCAAGGAGCATAAGGAGGCATGGGAGCTCACAGGTTGTTCAATCATGACAGATGCATGGATAGATAGGAAGGGTAGGGGAGTGATGAATTTAGTTGTGCATAGTGCTCATGGGGTACTCTTCTTAGATTCAGTGGACTGCTCAGGTGATAGGAAAGATGGCAAATATATCTTTGACCTTGTGGACAGATACATAGAAGAGATAGGGGAACATGTTGTCCAAGTGGTGACTGATAATGCGAGTGTCAATACAACTGCAGCATGTCTATTGACAACAAAAAGACCTTCAATATTTTGGAATGGATGTGCTGCTCATTGCTTGGATCTCATGCTGGAGGATATTGGGAAGCTTAGACCAGTTGAGGAAACAATTGCTAGTGCAAGACAAGTGACTGTGTTCTTGTATGCTCATACTAGGGTGTTGGATTTGATGAGAAATTTTCTTAAGAAAGACTTGGTTCGCTCCGGGGTTACACGATTTGCCACTGCTTATTTGAATCTCAAAAGCCTGCTGGACAGCAACAAAGAGTTGATGCAACTGTTTAATTCAGATGAGATGGAAGAATTGGGTTACTTGAAGCAGGCCAAGGGGAACAAAGCCAACAAAGTGGTCAGGTCTCAAACCTTTTGGAAAAATGTTGACACTGCAGTTATCGAAATGTATTTCGTGCGCATCGTCCCTGCAGTGTCGTCATGGCAGAGCGCTCGAAGGAGAAAACTTGTGCAGGGTGAAGCAAGAAGCCCTTCCAAGGAATTGTTCCCACATCTGAAGCTTGCTATCCACTACTCGCCTCATGGTGTTCCAGAAGACATGGCGTCGCCTTCGGTTGGGAGTTCGACAATTGAGTTCATGGATGGCAAGCAGCAGCATCTGATGCATAAGGACATGAGCCTAGAGCAACTCGACGAGATCATGCTGCCAAAGGCGATAGATTGCCTTAACCGGAAGCCCAAGCATCGTTGTATCACCTGTCCTAGAAGTCTAAGCATGAGATGGCGTACCTTGGCTTGAGAAGACAGGATGGTAAAAATGACACGGGGCGACATTGGTGACAATCCTAGCGAGACGACAGAAGGGCAATGCTCCAGCCAAGCAAGATCCGAAGCTGGAGGCATGGTTAGAGGTGTTCACAGACTTCTGAAAGCCGTGGGTTGCACTTGCACCTCAAAGGCTACAGGCCCAAATGTTGGAATGGATTAAAAAGGCAGATGAAATGTAATTAGACACACAAAACCTGTTGTTATATTTGTCAAAAAGGGCAACATAAGTCAACGAATCAGTGGTGCTTCTGTAAAAACCGTTCTACAATTGTAAGTTTGTTCATGTGCCCGTACTGTGCCGCGTCAGGTGTATGTATGTCCACCGTCATATATATTGTACCCCCTCTGGTCCAAAATTTGTGTAAAGAATGTAAGGATTATGTGCCCATTACATGATCATATCTTAACTTTTGGTGATTTAATTACAACACAAGTTTAGAACTAATATGCATGTTAAAGAAGTTTTTTTTAGAAAGGACGTCAAATGTTGTGCCGTAATTTCTATTAGACGAAGAAAGAAAAATGCAAGCATCAGCTCAGTTTCTTTTATTGGAAACTGGGGTAGAAAAACCATACAACTGAGGAGAGTGTCCTACTCATCCTACACAACTTTGATACAACTGTCACAACTCATATGACCACTTGCAACTTAGTCGAATCGACCCAACTAACAACAACTACCCAACTATCAACAACTTGGCAAAAGAAATGACCCAACTAGGACACCTTAACTAGAAAAGACAACTTGGAGAACCGAGCACCATCACCCTTAGAGCACCGAGCACCATCACCCTTGGGAAGCGCCATGACAGATGATAAGAGGTCCACAGCGGAAACTAGATCGCTTAGCAAAGCCTTCAAGAAGAAAACGATACCAAGAGCGTCGACAAGCTAGCCCACAGTGGGAAGGTTTCACATGCAAAATCTAGTACGGCAGAAGGAGAGGTAGAAAAGAGTGCCTCCAAGGAGGGCACGACGTCCACATACGTCGTCGCCCAAGCTTTCACCCCGACCTCATGCAATCTCCACACCTTAGCCGCTGGAGACCCTCAGAGATAGCCTGATCCAAGGAAACCAGCCCGAGTAAAGGGGAAGGCAGGTGGTGGGGAGAAGAGGGCCGGGATCAGAAGAAGCCCCAGTCGTCCAGCCCACCACCGTCCGGACCCCTGCCGAGTAGTCCCAGCATCAACCCACGCCACGTAGGGCCTCTAGCAGCCCCCGCACCGAGCTACCGCGCTAGCTCCCCGTTCCTTCATGGCTCTGAGCCAGACCACAGCAAGGCACCGAATCCAGGTGAAAGGACGCCGGATCCAGCATAGGGAGTGCTAGCCCCAACCAAGGATGTGCCGGTGCAGGCGTGCACCGCTAGAACCACATCGAACCCACCACCGTCGCTGCCATCTCCAATTGCGGCAACAGCACCCCACAACGGCACCACCACTGGTCCTCGCGTGCTGCAGCTGACCAGGACAACATGCTCCACTCAGATCCGGCCATGGAGCCTGTAGATCCAGCCTCGAAGCTTCTAGATGGTCCCATCGTCGTTGCAGATGTCGCCAGACTGGATGTCCGTGAGAGGAAGATAGGGAAAGAAGCCCCGCCGCAGCCGTCCTCGCGGACACGCGATTTCCGGTAGTCCGCTCTGGCGACGGCGAGGTGGGGAGGGTCGAACGGGGGTAGCCGAGGTTTGCTTGCTAGGAGCCGCTCGTGCGGCCGTGAGGGGCAACGCGGGGGCAAGAGTGTTTTGTCTGGTGTTTGAACGGCTAAGTTGGGATGCACTGTTAAAGAAGTTTTAATAAGTCTTAGTAATGCAAGAGAAGAAATGGCACGTATACCAGTGACGAAACATCAAATAGACAAGTGTGCAAAAGATGCACACACTAGCTGATCTGGCGGGCTGCGTAATGCATTGGACTATCGGGCGCATCGTTCGGTGACATTGTAGATGACACTTGTGTAGTGACACACACCGGACGGTCCGTCGAGATGGAAATAGGAACACCAAGCGATCGATAAACACATCAGATGAACTGTCGAAGAAATTCCTACGGAGGATATTCCCCATCAAAGCATGTGCCGAATGATCCTATTGGAGAAGAGAAGACCGGCAGATCATCCGATGAATTCTGGTAGCTTGGTCACTATGCTTAGCCATGCACTAGATGATCCGGCATGTATGGGACGCTGCAGCGGATCATCGTACGATACTCTGAAGGCTAGCCATTGTGTGAGTGAACACATCGAACAGTCCAGCAAGGAGAAAAAGACACATATTTTTTTGAGGGAACAGGAGGGGCAGAGCCCCTACTGAGATTTATTGAAAAAAAGTTGAGCTGTGAAAGGCAACTAAAAAACAAACAGACAGGAATACAGGGGGGTTACAGGTGGAGACTGGTTCAGGAAACAAAAAAGAATTGGAGAAAATACTCCAAACTAAGAACAAAAACCAAGCTAAATTAGACTTGCTATCCATTGATCAATTTGAGGGGAGTAACTTCTCTTTGCTCTCAATAACAGTAGCCCAAATTCTTTTCTGAAATCAGCTTTTGCACTTTCCATCATAGGATTGATCTGACAAAAAATAAGATCATTTCTAGCCTTCCATATAGTCCAGCACATGAGGGTGATGATTTCCATGAAAAAAAGGTACTGAAAGCTGATCTTTGAAACTTTGGAGAGTTTGAAAAGGATCCAGGTTTTGATCCACTTGAACGTTCAGCCACACCCAACATTGCACTACAAATGGACAGTGTAGGAATAGATGAATCAGATTTTCTTCAGAGGATGAATTGCAAAGGACACATTCATATTCCTGTAAGGTCATATTCTTTCTCTTCAGCAATTCTCTTGTGCTAATTCTGTCATTTAGAAGGAGCCAAAAAACACCTTGTGCTTATTTTGATAGGAGCTGTTCCATAGCCATTTGAAGGCAGGGTGTGGGTTGCAGTGTCCACTAAGATGCGCATAAACCCTTTTAACTGAGAAAAGGCTGGAGTTCCAAATGTATGTCCAAGTATCAGCCGAATTTTCCAAGTCAATACCATCAAGCTCTTCTTGCAAGAAGATCAACTGAGTATGTGCTTGCTGTGAAAGAGGAAGGTGAAAGAGACCATGAAGTAGAACCTGTGAGAATCCTTGTCTGAAAGTGATTTGTTTTTTCTTTGCAAAAGATAGGAGTTCTGGGTATTTGTGGGCTAGGATGTCATCTCCCCATAGATCTTTCCAAAACAGACATGATGTCCCATCATTAATTTTGACTCTGGCCAATCCTTTGAACTTATCAAGTAATCTTAAGACATCCCTCCACCAAAATGACCCCTTCTTTGAAGTACCAGGCAAATTTCCAGTGCTATAGTAGCATTCCCAAACCAGAGAAACCCAAGGCAAGTCTTGTTTGTTGAAAAATTTGTGCAAATGTTTTAGCAGTAGTGCTTCATTTTGTGTCTTGATGTTAAGGACCCCCAGACCACCTTCCTCTCTTGCTCTGCATACCATAGGCCAAGCTGCCTTTGTATTTTGCTTTGCATTGATATCAGCTCCCTCAAGAGGCAATGCTTCCTGTATTTATCTATCTGGTCTATCATAGTTTGCTGAAGTAAGAAAGTGCTCATGCAGAAGGATGGAAGTGCAGTGAAGACTGAGTTTGTAAGTTCCAATCTGCCTGCCTGGCTGAGAAAAGTAGAGGTTGCAGCTAGTCTTCTCTCACACCAATTCACCATCGGTGTGAAGTCAATTACCTTGGGCTTTGAAAGGCTAAGAGGCAGCCCCAAGTAGGTGAAGGGGAGTTTTTCAGTTACACAGCCAAAAGTTCTTGCTAGGCGTGACAACTTATCTTCACTTGTGTTTATGGGCACCATCATGGATTTTGCATAGTTAACTCTAAGGCCTGTGGATTCCCCAAAGCTATGCAGAAGGGCTTTTAAGACCCATAGCTGTCTACTGCAAGCTTCCATTATAATCAGTGTGTCATCTGTATATTGAATGATTGGAAAATCAGTTGAGCTTCTGAGAGGAATTGGAAGCTTGATTAGATTCTGATCCTTAGCCTTGTTCAGAATTGTCTGGAGTAAATCAGCTGCAAGCACAAATAGTAAGGGAGATAGAGGGTCCCCTTGCCTTACTCCTCTTCTACAATGGATCACTTTCCCAGGAACACCATTGAGTAGCACTGAAGAGGTCCTAGAATTTAGGATATTCTTTATTCAATTGATCCACTTCTGCCCAAAACCTTTTGCTCTAAGTATCTCTAAGATGGCTTCATGTTCAATCTTGTCAAAAGCTTTTTCAAAATCGAGCTTTAAGATGATCAAGTCTCTCCTAGATTTGTGGCAAATGTGTATGTACTCCAGAGCCCAAGCTAAGCAATCCTGTATTGTCCTTGTCTTAATAAAACCATATTGGTTTTTATAGACCAAATTTTTTATTACTACTTGCAACCTGTTTGCTAGCAGTTTTGTTAGCAATTTCAGTGAGGTGTTGAGCAAGGAGATAGGCTTGTAGTCTGAAACTGTTTGAGGTCCATCTTTCTTTGGAACGAGGGTGATGTGAGAGCCATTAATACTTCTTAAACAAACTTCACCATCATTGAAAGTTCTACATAGCCAGTAAAAGTCATCTGCAATCAGAGGCCAACATCCCTTCACAAACTCATTATTAAATCCATCAGGCCCTGGGGATTTATTACTTGGCAGTTTTGTTACAATATCATCAATTTCCACTCTAGAGAAGGCCTCCTCTAATGAACCCAATCCATCAATAGGTTGAACAAGATCATCAAGGTTAAACAACATTTGACTAAAATCTAAAACAAGCCTTTCCTTGAAAGAATTCCATAAGAGAGCTACTTTTTCTTCATGTGCCTGGTGTATGGTTCCATTGTTGTCTTGCAAAGAGGAAATTGTGTTTTTCTGATGCCTTATTGTTGCCTCCAATATGTTCTTTGCTACTTCAAAAGATAGATGAGTTTTGCTG